AAAAAATTGGGGAACCTGGGTTCCCAAGATTGAAAACACTGGTTGATTTCTTCTAATTCATAAGTATCTTATGGCATGTTATCCACGTTTAAAAATGTTGGATAATGCTGTAGCAGGGATACAGGGAGCTGGATGAAATGCTGCAACCATCGTTTGCTAGTCAATGTTTTGGTAAACACCTCCTGAAAGTTGGAATAGCAACAAACAAGCAGAAGTCCGTTTGCTAGGCAACGACTTGCTAAAGCTCATTCTCATGTCAGCAAAGGTTTCTGTGGATATGAGGAATCTATGGATCACCAGGCATTTCTGCTACAATGCATACAGGGGACAAGTAGCTTCTATTCAGTCTTTCTGAACTTATAAAAGAGAGTTCATTCACAAATTCAGTTCATTCATTTGTAATAGAATTAAGAAGGCAGTTCAATAGTTGAATATGCAGCTGTGAAGTGTTAACCAGGTAAGATTCATTACTGAGCAATGACTAGCAAGCAGACATTGAAGACATTATTTTGTGTGCTATAGTTATAGTAATCTATTTTTTTTTCCTTGTTGGCACTACAGCCCCAGTGGGCCTAGGCCTACCTCCATGAACTTCTCCGTTCACTTCGGTTTTTCTAGATCTTACACATACGGTAGGACTCCTTGGGTGAGTGATCAGCTCGTCGCAAGGCCTCTACCTGTAGACAAACACAGAAAAACGCACACAAACATCCATGCCCTGAGTGGAATTCAAACCCATGATCCCGGCTTCTGAGTGAGCGAAGACAGTGCATGCCTTAGACCGCTTGGCTACTGTGACAGGCATAGTAATCTATAGTGTGTTACAATTCAGCACATAAGTTTTTATTGCAGCATCCACTAAACAGTGGAATTGAATTAGCTGTATTTGTTACAAACAGATGGCCATAACTCTTAAACCATAAGCGATGGACCAAAATGGGTTGCATTTTTGAGAAGCTTGCATATATTAACATATTTCACTTGCACTATAATGATGTCGGCCACCTGAAGAGAAGTTTTCTACTTCTTATGGCTTTAATTAATTGTGCATTTTGTCTGTTTGTGAGAATGGACTGAATAATATCTGTTATTCTTAACCTTTAACGTATGGACTTTTAAATTGCCAGGAGCCCTGTATGGCCGGAATTTAAATAACCCTACTTAATTATCACCGCAAAAAAAATGCATATTTTCCGTTATATACAACATAGAAATATGAACTAAAAAGAACCTGAAAGACAATAAAATTTTCTACATATATGTAAAAGAACAAGTTTTACAAATGAAAATTAACTGTGAATATTTTGTCATGAAATGCAAAACATACTCTTTATTATATATGTTATGAAGTACCAAAGGACTTACCCATTGTTTTTTCTTCAATCTTGAATCATGATGATATTGTAGATATGATCACACTAATACAGTAATATTTTGTTCAGACTGTACGCGAGTTTGAACTGCGTCACTTCACAGTTTAGGCTATCTCACACTCTGACGCGCATGTGCCATCTCTCGAAGCAGTCCTCCACACAGAGCGCAACATTACACTTTTTACAGCAGTAGGCTGTGGTTCTGCGCTTCTTATTCTGAGAACAAATATGACGTCTTTGTTTTCCTTTGGCTGGCCAGTGTTGTGAATGTTTCACCTCCAGTCGACTCAGTTGGGCCCCAGATGAACTTGGCCTCCCCCGAGAAACGCCACTGACTGATATTCGCCTCATGCGACTGAAGAATCAAATCCCGCACCAATATTTCATGGAACTTTTTGTGTGTCATTTGTTGATTCCACTCGGAGGACCAGTGAAGTCTATTACCTTTGGCGAATCCCAGGTCTTCTATCACGAAACCTAATTTCCGTTTCCTCTGCCTCGTCTGACGATGATGATGATGATGACGACAACGTATCTGCTCGAGGTTCAAAGAACTCACTGATATCTTCTAGCTCTTCATCAGATTCCTCTTCCATCAATATTTCCTCCAGCTCTTCTGCATCAAGAATTTTGGAATATTGGGCACGTTTTTGAGGTTCCATCTTGGGGGAGGGGGGTTTCCAGCAAAATCGATTAAATTATGATGATTCACAAAGACTCGCAAAATAGTGATGCAAAGTAACTGTAATAGTATGCTACAATAGGCCAGAAGTGGCCACAGTACAAGAGACTTAGTCCCACCCCACTAGCAATAAAAATAATAATTGTAATAGTAGTCGAAAAGGTGCCAGTCCGACACTGATACAGAAAGTCACAGTGACGAAGATGCCTTCTACTCACAAACAAATACTGACTCAGTGGGTTTATACCTCTTCCGAGACACAAAATAATATAAACAGAAATATATGAGAGTCTGACACTAACTTTTTAAGTGAAAAAGAAATATAACACAGTATGACACTGACTTCCTAACTGATAATTCGCCACTGAAAACCAATCGTTGGATACGTCACACTTCCTTAAAGCTGTGGAAGCACTGATCTGTAAGCACCGACGAATATTTCCTCTTTAGTTCTCAGAACAAAGCTGGGCTACATTTGGCTCAACGGGTCATAAACAGTCATATATAAACATAAATAGTTTCGAAATCAGGACCAAGATAAACGATTTGTTTGTTCAGAGCTAAGGAATGAACCACTGACATGACAACACGTAGGTTTCTTTTGGTTTCAAACCCAAGGTCAAACTGTCAGCACTCCTAAAGAGTGCGCCTGTCCTGCGACATGTATATGTGTCATTCGGCCAAGAGGGGTCCCTCCATGCGACATGTATACGAGTCATTCGGCCGTTAAAGGTTAAAAGTAAAGCTATTGCTATTTCATTCCATTTCATATATATATATATAACATCAAAATTATCAAGATCTCATTTTGGTATTAAGTTTTTTTTTTTACTGTCCATCCTCAGATGAGGGGGTGGACAAATGGATTTCCATTATTTTTTAAATGAAAAAATCTGAATATATGCAGAAATCAGTCATGTTTCATGCCTTCTGAGTAGAAGGGGGTACATTGCGTCTCATTAGTTGGACACTAATTGATGGGATATCATGGTGGAGTGCTTCAAACTTCTGTTTAATATTCGGGTCTCAAGCTCAAATATCAACCCAAACACTTCCTCCACTGCCTTATGTTCCTGTGATTTTCCTGGTCTCTCCAGAAAAATGCTAGGATATGTCAAGATAGGCCTCAGCTGCTTATTTACACAGCCAATCCAATTAATTATTCACTAATCACTGAAATTACAGTATATATATGTCAGTTAAGGTTTGAATATATTGACATTACAGCTACAAGAAAATTCTGAGAAGTCAAAAAATTCACAATATTATGGACTGTTTGTTCAAATAAAAGTTACTTTTATGGATGCAGAATCTAAAAAGTAGTTAATCGGTGATGAGACATGTAAGAATACAAAATTAAATATCCTGGATTATCTGTGGTTTTGAACTATATGTGCACCACATCCCTTTCACTCACCCAAGTACTCAGCAGGTAGCTACATCTAATTCACAGTGTTTGCTGTCAGACAATACAAAACTAAATCTTTTATTGCATATATGTCTTTCTATAGGGGCATTAATGTGTGAGTAAAGATCAATGTTATGGGTCCCTGCCACTGATTTGTGAACTCCTTTTGAGGTTCCCTCAATACTACATTCAAGGTGAAGCACACGTCTGAAAATGTGAGTTTAATTTGAACCAAATAAAATATAAGCAAGCACCCAGATTGCAGTAACACTGTTCTGCCTCCTCAGAGTCCAGCAGTGATGAGCTTCCTTCTTTGGTTAAGGAACAATATACACATTTTATAACTTTATTTGATTGTAATATAAATTGCCACAATGCCTTGTTGTACATATAAGTATATGATTAATGCGCAAGGATACATTTCTTTCATGGTTGACTGTTCTGTTCTGACCCACTGCAAACTACTTGAGTTGTAGCTAGCTATAAAGAGAGGTGAATTTCCTTCCAAGAAAATTGAATTGATTTCTGTAAATGAATTATCAATAATGTATTAATGGGGCTTGGATGGGAGTAGCCATGAGCACTCTGACTTTAGGAGTCACTCAGAGCAGTCATGTGGTAGAGCCAGTGCGAAGGAGTTTCGAGATGGCATCCTGACCATCTTTATTCTGCGACTCATCTGGCCATGTGTGGTCGGATCACTGATGATTGTTAATTTGTAATTTCTGGTTCAGTGATTAGTATATGAATTTTGGTTTGTTAATGGATTGTTGGGATAAAATTGGTTAAATGATCTTAGCATATAAACTTTGGTTCACGGATTGTTAAACAGTAATTTTTTATTTATTGAGTGATATGAGAATGTATAAATTTTGATTTATTGAGTGATGGTTAAGATACAAGAATCTGGTTTAGTAGTAATTAAGTTTAGGATGTAACATTTGCTTTGTTAATTGTTGGTTTACATTTGAAGGTTGGTTAAATGATTCACTGTTGGGATACAAAATTTGGTTTATTGTTTGTACTGTATGAACTTGAGCCATTGATTGACTGTTAGGACGTAACCTTTGATTCACTAGTTGCTTGTTGAAAATACCAACTTAGACTCATTAAGTGTTATGATAGAAAATATGGTTTACTGGTGTTAAGAGATGAAATGTGTGTCACTAATTGATGGTTAGTATACAAACTTTGGGTTATTGTTAAGATATAAATTCTGGTTAGCGAGTGATGGTTAGAGTATGAATTTGGTTTGCTGTCGTTATGTAATAACTTGGGTTTACCAATTGTAGGATATAAAATTTGGATTGTGTTAGGTTTAGTAGATTATGGGTGGTCAATTTTAAGAACTTAAGGTAGAGTGTGTATTGGCAGATTGTATATGTTAAAAGGGTTGTATGTATGTATGTATTTGTTGATTTCATTATATTTGTTGTTGTTTTCACATCCATAGATGTTTAACTGGTGGCAATTAGGTGGGACAGAATAAGGATTTTGGGGGTTCCCACAGTGGATGACACTTTTGGCACAACACAAGTTTTGTTTAAATGGATAACTTTTAATGAGCATGTGAAATGATACAATGTTCCACACAGAAATCACATCTTAGTCAACTTCTTCAGGCCTCACAGGATGCATGAGTGGAATTACTGATTTCTTCTTCACATCTCTTGATAAAGCTTTTCTCATATCTGAAAGCAGAAACACAACTGAAATACCAGGACATTACAGCTGAGAATTTCTGCTAACACCATACTAAAAGTATGCAGAAAGCATGGCGAGTGCATATACTTTATTGCAAGAGATAACTAATCTCATTATTATAAGAACATGTACCACAATAATATAAATCATATCGCAGCAATACGGTACTTCGACACTTATCTCTGATAATTTTTGGTGTTGTCTGTATGACTTAACATTTTACGCATACATAAATATTTAGATTAGGTGCAACTTTTGTTCCACAGCTTCATATTCAAAATGTACTATGTAGTACAGTGCCACAAGTACACCTTATGCCATTCTTGCAGGGGAATTTTCCTATTAAAGGTGACAGCAATGAGGACAATAATGAGGGTAACATGTTTCATGGATAATGGAGATGTTTGTCCAGTATAGCTAACATTCTACTTCTGGTATGCTGTGTCAAAATACTAAGGGCGTTCCGTATATAATGCCTCCTATTTTTTTTAAAGAAAGCTACAACAGATACATAAATCATAATAGCGCAGTTAAATAGAGCAAGAGTTCAGCTACTTACAGCTATTTTTCCACATAATCACCACCATCCGTTATGCACTTTTGCCAGCGACGAATAAGAGCCTGTATGCCGCGCCCGTAAAAGTCTGCACCAGCAGAGGCTAGCCACTTTCTTACAGCTGCAATGACAGCATCGTTGTCTGGAAAATGTTGCCCACGTAGTCCGTCTTTCATAGGCCCAAAGAGATGGAAGTCTGAAGGTGCTAAATCTGGGCTATAAGGTGGATATGGTAGAACAGTCCAGCCAAACTGGTATGGGGTCTAGCGTTATTGTGTTGCAAGCGAAAGGTTATCTGCTTCTCTGGCCGGACTCGGGAAATATGGGCTTTCAGCTTAGTCAGCGTCGTCTTGTAGTGTTCAGAATTGACATTCCCTGGTCATTATCTGTTGATCTGTTCGGATGAGGCGCTGTTCATTGTGAGGAGTGGCAGCTGAGCAGGGATGCCCATGGCGTGGCTTGTCGTGCACTCCATTTTCGCCACTGTTGAAACGCACTACCCACCAAATCACTGTGCTGACATCCACTGTATTGTCTCCGTACACCTTTAGCAAGTGTCGATGGATGTCAATGGGTACAATTTGTTCGGCAGTGAGAAATTCAATAACACATTTCTCTTTCATACGCACTTCTATGTCAGATGCCATTTTGGTAGACTGCTCTGCTGCCGCTATCTGTCGTACGACAACCAAATTAACAGTACATTGGCGGGAAGGTTCAACCTTTACTACAACACCACCAACATCCAGCTCAGATGTTACATATTAACACAAAAAAATAGGAGGCATTATATACGGAACGTACCACGTACTTACCAAAAGCATCTTCATCTGTGTCACCAGAATAATATTCTAGTACTGTTCTGTATACTATGTAACCAAGACGCTTGTACATGTTGATTGCGACTTGGTTAGAAACACGGACAAACAGGTCAACGAAGTATGCTCGTTTTCTGCAAATAATAATTATATAATCACTGCACAGTTTTTATTACACTTTATCATATGGTCATAGGGAATTTAAATCCAGAATGCTGGCAGCTGGATTTAAATTCTATGGTTCTAATTATTAATTGTAAGAGACTGAAGAAATATACTGTACTTATTGTGACACAGCAGCTTAAGGATCAGAAAAATGGAGCCAGAATGAATGGCCGTTGCTAGGGAGTGACCCATAAACATGTTTCTGCAGCAACAAACATTTGATGCCACAATATAGGAACTGCTGGAAATGGTGTTTTCTATTGGGTCTGCCCAAGGCTATATAGCTAGTGCATCCAGCCAGTTGTAGGCTTAAACTTGGTGGTGGTCAAGCTTATAACCATTCAAGTGACTAAGCTGCCGTTGTAGCATAAGATACGCAAGACAGGCATGATCTGCTCTGTCAAGAGGACTTGTATAGTATATAGTGCAAAAGGAAGGATCTTAAAAAACATGCTACATGGGTGATATGTACACTTGATGAAAGGCCAACCATATTAATAATATACAAATCCATCTTGTCATAGAGGATGTTACATAAGGACTATGAACACAAGGGTTCAATTTAAAGGAAAAAAAAAACATCTCTGGTCATGAGTCTCAAGGGGCCTGACAACAAGATGAACTTATTGCAGGTAAACCACCAGTCGTAAAGTAACCTTGATTCTGACTCTTAATTTGGAGCCAAGGGTCAGGTGCAAGATAGTTTCCAGCCAGCAACAATGGATATTGCCTGGGTTATGCAAAATGTTGCATAACGAATAAAATAAAACTTTCAAGACGCAGACAATTTTGCACTGTGTGCAGAAACACAAAGTATGTTGGTGCACAAATGAATACCACCAAAATGTCTCCTTCAGTGAGCCAGAACACCATTAGGATAAAGGTACAAAATGTAAATGAAATTTTGTTTTCTAAATGTTGATTTCCTATGATTACAATGGATTTTACCTATGCTTTAATTTTTTCTCTACAAGCAAACACATGCATACACAATGTATTTATGATTTACACAAAATCTGGGTTACACACGACCTTCCAAGCAAAACAACTGCATACGTTGGGGGCTTCTGTATGTTGCAGTGGTGTGACAAGACTAAGACTGTGGTCGACGATAAGGTCCATTACTTCACCCTTCTGTGCTTCACAGAGGTATTTCTGCTTCTGCCAACAGGTCAACAATTACAACATTTCATCCAGCCCATGAATTGTACTGATACCTATGGCAGTGTATCCTAATCAGTTTATTCATGAACCTTCCAACTCACACAGCTCTCTTGATTATGAAGGCAGAAATAGCTAAGTCAGAATAGGAACTAGGCCATGACTCTGAAGCCATCCAGGCTTCAGAGTCAAGAGTTCAATTCCCAGCAGGAGCAAGAGATAATTCTCTTCTCCATAACATTCAGAGTGGCTCTGGGATCTACACAACCTCCTTAACAATAGATACCAGGCACTGTTTCTCTGGGAGTGAAGTGGCTGGGATGTGAAACTGATTACTCCTCTCCATCTAGTGTCAAGTTCAAGAATGGTGGAGCCATACCTCTGCTCCTCTATACATCTTCGTGGTAGGATGATAAATTAAGTCCAGGAATAATTTCACCTTTACCTCTATTCAGCTGATCTCAATGCGATCCAATAATGGGCTTCTTGGATGGATGTCTAAGGATAACATATATTTCAAAACAGGAAAGTTTTATCAACAAAAGGAGAGAATGGCTATAGGCCACCCAGTCTTCATAACTTTTAGTGACAGTTACATGATACACTTTGAACATCAGTATTAATGTTGACAAGAATAGATCCTTTGCTGTAATATAAATATGCTGACAACACTTTCGTGATATGGTCACATAGATGAGACTCCTTATATGAGTTCCATCACAGCCTTCAACCAGCCATATAATTCACAAGGGTAACTGAATGTAACAACACACTTCCTTTTCTGGCATACCAGTCAAACAGAACTGTTGGTAGACTACAGGCTACAGTTTACAAGAGACCACTACATGCTGGAGATGATCATTATGAATCTAACCAACTCATTCATATCAACAGAAATTAAGTCAGAACTCTCTGGTACTGTTTCCAGATAATGTATGACCTAGGAGGCAAAATGCATGCAACTGAGAACATCGTTCTGACAATACATATACACAACACTCATAAAAACTATAAAAATTATAACATTCATAAGAAAATGTCCACTAGCATAATTATTTTCTAATATTCAAATGGCTGAAAGATTTTGTCATGCTGGGCCTTAATTATGAAGCCTGCCTGGTATATCGGGATGATGTGATCATTATAGGCTAAACAGTTAAAAAGAAATGAATGATCTGTTTGCAAGTAACAAGTATCAAAACATTTTTATTATGGAACTAGAAGGCTGAAAGAGAAGTATGAATCTAGCATTGAGACAGTGTGGTCAGCAATGAAGGAAATGCAGTAACAAGAAAAATACAATCCTTTAAAGATTTATGACAGTGACCTGTTATTAATTATAAAATCATTTTGTTGTATTTAAAATTATATGATTTAAAGAAGCTGGATTTGCTTCCGTCACCGTATGTACAAGAGGGGGAAGGATACTACTCAGTTGGATCTGTCAGGCAGAGTTAATCTTAACTCTTTGACTGGTGCGAAGGGTATTTAAATGCCACCCCTGTCCTGGCAGACCCTTTAAGCTTGAAGTCGCTAAAATGCATGCATTTACTTTTTTTAAAATAACTTCAACAAAAATTGGTTTTTAAAAACGAAATTTTCAGGAACTAATAAAAAGAATATTTTATGCAAAAAATGTCTTTTCATTCCTTTTTTGTAATTTTTCTTCGTGTGATGAACACTGAAACATGAAAGTTTGCATAGAGCCATACCACAGCTCGCACACATGACACTTGTTTCTTTTCTAATCTTGTGCTTAGCACACACGCGACACTTTCTCATGGCACCATTCTTCTTCTTCTTCTTACTAGGAGGAACATGGACCATTTTGTGTATTTTCAGGCCACCCTCTAGACAATTTGCTGGGTCCTACACTGGTGGTCTTTTCAAGGTCGCGGGCGGAGGCGTGACTGCACTCAAGTCTGAAGCAACAGATTCGTCATCCACTTTATTTCTTGACTCTTCTCCCTCTCCACACTGTTTGTTTGGTTCTGTCATTTTTTCTACACAGTCCAATATAAAATCTTTGAATTTGTATTTTCTCTTCTTGTATTTTTCGTCTGTTGTGTTCTTTTTTAATAGAATGAAACTATTCAACGCTACCATTTGCAACAAGAAAAACACCAGTTTCTTTGTCCACTTTACAGTTTTGCGGGAACAAGGATAATAATGCAGCATTTGATCGGCCCTGTCAACCCCTCTCATATGTTTATTGTAGTCCCCAGTTACCTCAGGTCTGCATATTCTTTCTCCTTTGCGATTCGTTTTTGCAGATTCCACGATTTTTGCTGTGTGAAGAGTGGAGATAAGCTTGACGTCTCTTTTATCTCTCCACACCTGTATGAGAACCTGCCCCTTTGTAGAAAACACAGATTTCCCTTTTTTCAATTTTTTTTACATCATCTTTTAGTTCTTTAGGAGCTCCTCTGTCCATTCTGAAGGTACCACACACACAGGTATTTCTCTGTAATAACATCTCACACAATTCTACACTACTGTAATAGTTATCCTGGTAGAGATGATACCCTTTATCTAGAAGCTGTGGCCCCAACAGATCGACAACTAATTCCTTTATAGGTCTTGATTTTCCACAATAAATTTCAAAATTCCAAATATATCCACTTGTTGATTCACAAACAAGATAAGTCTTTATACCATACTTATCAGGTTTATCAGGCATATATACTCTGAAGATAAGACGTCCTTTCCAAGCGATCATTCCTTCATCTACTGCAATTTCCTTTTCAGGGATATATGTGTTTCTAAATTTCCCCACTAATGAATCTATAATTGGCCTAACTTTATACAGGCGATTTTCAGAATCAGCTAGTCGTGCATCGTTGTCTGCAAAATGAAATTTTGAGATCTGTTGGAACTGCCGCAAAGACATCTTTTGTCCATACCATGGAGTGTGAAATAGGGGCCTAGTGGACCAATATTCTTCAATTTCAGGGTGTTTGTCGATTCCTGTCATGAACACAATTCCTAAGTATGTCCACATTTTGTCTGGGGTGACATATTTGTAATTGTGTTCTCTAGAGTGAGGAGCTAACTCGTGTGTGTTGAAGTGCTGTTGAGCATAGCAATTGGTTTCAGTTGTGATGTGATTTACTAAGTCATCCAGAAAAATTATAATCCATGAAAAGGGTTGCATTTTATGTGTTATATCAATTTTGATCCCGGAACTACTAGTAAATGGAACTATTGTTAATGTTATATTTTAGCGTCTCCATGAGATGGGCTTGTTAGATAATTCATTTCAATTATCTTCCTGTTCATAATTTCTG